CACCCCGCAGCCAGCAGCCGGCACCAGCAGCAGCGAGAGCAGCTCGGGCAAGTCCCTGCCCCTAGCTGGGAGCCTGGGCAAGCGCAAGCGCAAGAGCCCCCGCCTGAGCGGGCTGAGCAAGCAGCGGCAGGGGGCCAACGCGCGGGAGAGGGACCGGACCCACAGCGTGAACTCCGCCTTCAGCGCGCTCCGCACGCTCATCCCCACCGAGCCCGCCGACCGCAAGCTCTCCAAGATCGAGACGCTGCGCCTGGCCGGCAGCTACGCTACATCTCGCACCTGGCCAACGTGCTGCTCCTGCAGCCGCAGCAGGGCGAGGGGGCGGAGCAGCCTTGCCAGCAGTACCAGCCCCGCCTGCAGGGCGGCAGCACCACGGCGGCGCCCCGGCCCATCTGCACCTTCTGCCTCAGCAACCAGAGGAAGCTGGTAAGGCTGGCATGCAGCAGGGGCTGAGCGCGGCCCCGGCCATCGCAGGGGCGGCTGGGAGAATGGAGCCTCCCCCTACTTCAAAGGGGCCGGAGGTGGCATGGCACCTGGCACTACCATGGAGACGGGCCCCACTGGGGCAAAGCCTGTCTCCTTCTCGCCCACCCCACACACTTAAACTAGTCTCCCAACCACAGCAAACATCTAGATTCCACAATTTGCTGTCTTAAGGTTCACAAAGCCCCTTCTCCTCTTGGCATCTGTAGGAGACCTGATTGTAGCTGTTAAGCAAATACTCTTTGCTCAATAGTGTACACAACACCCCCCCCCTGCAAAGTCAGCTTTTCATGGAAGGACAGTCTCCTAAAGCTTCACAGGCAGAAAAACCTTAGGGGGGAGGGATCCCTCTAGGAACAGCTTTGGTGCTTGTTTTAATTTATTATAATTAACTCACTTTTTGTGAGCTTGCTTAGGTAAGACATCTACTGTACAGGTCATAGAACACATTTTCTCAAACTCCAAGCTCCACAAAGAGGAAAAAAAATGAAAATCAGCTAAATATGACAAGTTGACTCATCTCAGTCTACAGTTTAGATACAGTACTTGTCTTCATTTTGTTCTCTACATATAGCAGCTTCACAAATACTATTCTACCCCAGCATTAACTGCACTGTTGTACTTCTGATAAACTTGCTTCACACTATTAAATCTAAGTAGAGTTAAAATATAAGTGCTAGGAATCTAAAGGGCTAACTTTGTTTGGTGTGTGTGTTAAATTAGGTGTACAATGCCAAGAAAAGGAAGATAGTGCATTTCCTTTTTCATGTTGATGTTTTCTAATATCTTTTCTATCCATTCTTACAGACCAGAGAAGGGAAGAAACACTTGTCTATGTGAAGTTTTAACTGGACATTGAATCAGCTGAAAAGCTTGCACAAATCTTGCACTGACTGTAGAACGGTTTTAGAGAAATTCTCTACACTCATGTTTACACTGAAATTATGCAATAGCAAAAGCTACTTTTTAAACCATAAAAACCCACTGCTATGCACTTTGTTTTATATTATGGTAGGTTTGTTCAGGCTGTTTTGCCAATGAAATTGAACACTGTGGAGAGAGTTGCACCTGGTGTGGCTGCTATTTTAATGCAAGAAATGTTCCTAAGCAGCCAACCCATGATCTTGATGGCTCTTCAATTTATGTCACATGATGAAACTTGAACTTTGAAACACACAGTGTCTCCTGTCAATGGAAGCTGTCATAACATGCCATCCTCTGTGCCTATAACCAATATTGGGCTGAACAGTCATGTCATCCACTCTTACAGATGCTTATGCTCATTTGTGTGAGAGAAAGTGGCAGCTTGACATGCTGAGGGTCGTTGAAGTTACACAGATTTTAAAGGCACTCACCCAAAAACCAAGATACAAAAGCCACACATACGGCAGCTCACATTACTCATCTAGTCACAATAGAATGCCTCTCAAAGAGACATGGCCAAGATGGGCGGTCACTATCTCTGTCAGTACATGGGGAAGTTGAGAAGTGCTGTGTAAGGGAGGTTTTCATATAATACAGTGTGCACTGTGCCAATCCTCTAAATAGCGTGGGATCTTTCTAAATTTGTGCTTGATAAGCACAGAATAGGGAGGGTTTCCCCAGGGCTCTCTAAATTTATCTAGGTTATTCTCAAGTTGAAGCTGTACACTGCTGATGTCACTCACTCATTAATACCTTATGAACTTGTAAACTTAATTCGGAATTAAGTCTTAAGCACAGGTGTGTCCTGGTTCCCAATTTGGGCACAATGACAAAATTGAAAAAACAGTTAATATATTAGATTTTCATATACAGGTCAATTTACAGTGGAAGGTTTAAATGGTAAGTTTACCTCCTGGTCTCTTTGTGCAACTTATTATGCTAAAAATATTGGTCAGTCAGGCTCATGCATATCTAGTGAAACAGAATGACCCTCAAGAAGTCAGGGTTAAAGTGCTTAAATAAGCCTTTCCAGCCCTCCTAAATATTTTATACCTTAGATATATATTGCCTTTGTGGTATTAAAAAGCAGATAGACTTGCTGCTTCTTGGGACAGCAATAATTTATGTGCAGCAAAATATGCTTTCCTGGGGACGGCAGCATAATTGTCATCACCCACTGTGAGGTCACCTTGCCTGGTGGACCACACCCTCTTGTAGAACTTCACTCATATCAAAGACAAGGAGGGGGGAATAAGGAAATGGAAGCTGTTGCGGTATTTATTGTATCGCTGACTTTTCTTCAGCCTCACAACCCCCCACCTCAAAACATACAGAGCAAATTCTGCAGATTTTCCCCAATATACACCAAAAACTCATTACTTTACTATTGGAACTTTTAAATCCCTCATGCTCCCCCTACTGGACATTTTGCAGTGCCATTTTAAAACACTTATCTTGTACCCACAGGAGCTGTAGGAAATGTCTCCTCAAAGAGGTTGATCCAATGGGACTATTCATGTGCTTAAAGTTGCACACATGATTCAGTGCTTTCCAGAGCAAGGTCCCAGTTTCCTGCTTTTAGTATGCTGCTATCTTTAATGCATCTTTAGCATATGCTCAGTGTAGCGATTCAAACTACTGACAGACTAGCTTTTTCTTAATGTTTTTTTACTATAGTTTTTATTTGTGTGCAGAAATCTCCCAAACATGTTGTCCAAAGTATTGCTTTGTTTTTAAAAATGGTTTTGTAATGGCTTAGAAACTGGATGTGGATCTTTTTAAATTATGTTTTATAGTTTTTAAAGCAGATTTTTAGATTTTAGTGTAGATTAATCATATTTTGAGTATACTATATCAAATACAAGCTTAATAGTGAAACAGATTATAATCGCCATATCTTTCATTAGGATACTATAAACATTTAAACTGCAATTTTATATTTTTAGGTTTTACATAAACATTCTATAAAGACTCATTCATAAAGAAATTGAACAAGATAATTTTGAACTTTCCAAAACATCTTAGATAATGTTCATTTAATTTTAATAGCTTTTCCTGGCAAATGTAGCTTAGTTACATTTGGCATGGATTGCATTTAAGTTTTTAAAAGGCCCTCAACATTGGAAGGTGTGGTCCACTATTTTTTAAATTTAGTGTTAACTTAAAACTTGTTCATGAGTTTCCTCAAGTAAGAAGTGATTTACACAGTGCTAAAGTTTTTTCAAAATGGAAACCTACATCCATGGTATTTATGTGCTACGTGTCCAATTTACACAGGATCGTTTTCTACCTGCTTCTGTTGAAGTCCATGTCAAAATGGGAGCTCTCTGCTGATAAATGTAGGAGGGGGACATAAGCCATATTCAGTGTGGAGTAATGTGACATTAAATGCTGCAGTCCTTACTCATTAAAATTATTCACTTTGAGAGGATTGCAGGACTGTGTCCAGTGTTTGATTATTAAATAGTTGCATTTCTAGAACACCTATAGGTTCCAATCTGAGCTTCAGTGCATTAGGTTCTGCACATGCATGTAACAAGCAGTGCCTTCCCCCTCAAAATCCTATACGGGGAAGATTTCATAGCCGCAGGTCCCAATACTACAGACAGAAGATTTCATAGCCGCAGGTCCCAATACTACAGACAGATGTGAATAACTTTATGCTTATGAGTAGTACATTGAATTAATTGAGGCAGATGCTCAGCTGTATAGACCATCAGAGCTCCATTACAGTTCTTTGATAGTTTGTTAGCTAGGGATCTACCCCAGTATCTCTACTCATGTGCATATTGAACTGAATCATTATTGATAAATGGAGTTTCATAACGGTATGTCAGAAAGAGCTGGATGGTGGATAGTGTAGTTGTGCATAAAATTCATCTGTGTCAAGTTGAAAATTAATCCTCAGGAATCATAGCTGAGGTATGAATACTAAATTTATTAGGATACTTACCATCCTATACTTCACACAGACTTGTTTGTATGTCTTATCAGTTCTGTTTAAATCAGTGCACATTGTTTGTAGCATGCACAGATTGTATAAACATATTTTCAATCCTGGATGCCTAAAATTGAATACCTCAACTCTGAGTTAGGCTCCTAAATAAAATTATTTTTCAAAGGTAAGACCTGCCATGAACACCTTCCACTACCATTATTGATTTTCTACCTATATATTAATTATACAATATATTTAAATATAAGTAACCTAATTTAAATCCCATAACTTTTCCCTGTTCAAGTTTAAACCTCTGGGTTAAACAGATGTCATTGGTGACACACTGAAGCTGGCCTCATCAGATTTTATGAAACGATAGTTTTTAAAATTAAATCGCCATATTCCATATCACAGCCACTGAATGTGTTCTGAATGTACCAGTGCCCTCAAAAGGACAAGTCATAATCATTTGACTAAGTTTATTAAAAATTCAAATATACTGTTTGATTTTTTAAAAACTAATAAGGATGTATGTCTGAGTGTTCTTTAAGGTATTTATTACTATAATTTAAAATATTTGTTCTTCAAGCAGAAGAAAGTATTTCCTTTCCATTGTCTACTTGAAAAGTCTAGCTCCTGCCTAAAATCAAATTGTTTTCAAAATGTGCTAATTTCTGCTAAAATAAACTATTTTTATAACTTGTATAAACAATAAAATAAAGTTCTGGAGGTATACATCTTTCTCTAGCTATCTCAGTGTTGAAAATATGCACTGATGAGTACTGTATGTTAAAAGCAGATATTCTTTTGTACACCTTTAAAAGACTATCTGTGTGATAATCCTTGTAAATAGGATTTTCTTCTTGCAAATAGGATTTTTTTAAATAAAATTTTACATTAGGGCTGGTAGAACATTTTCATTAATTAGTGCTTCAAACTTGCCATGAGCCAATGGTGGTCTGTATAGAATTCACTGGTCCTATGGAGAAGTCTCCTTTCATTTCCAACTGGAACAGTCATATTAATCGATTTTTTTTAAATAATTTTGCTAAATGTTTTTTCACATAAGTAATTGCTATTGCCACAGAGATGTTAACCAACCATGAATGGGAAGTTATATGCTTCACATGACAGCACATGAGATGGCACAAAAGAGACAAAGCATATTCAGCTTAAGGGATCTGACCAGCTATGCAACAAGCCTCGAGAGAAGACCAAGCAAAGTAAGTCTTACTGTGTTTAGTAATATCCTGCAAAACCTTTGGAAGCACCTGTCTACCACAGGAGTGACAAAGTTTCTGCCTCTAAACCCCACCCAAAAAAGAAAAAAAATTAAAACTCTACCTGTAACAAAGTTTTACACTGAAAGGGAGATAATAGACTTCAAGGAAGCTAGAGACTTACCTATTTTATAAGGAAGATGCTGGGATCCTTAGGTCATGGAAAGCAATATAAAACTAATGACTTAGTCTTTGGGGTAGTTACAAAAGACTGAGAACCCTCACATTAAACAATTTCAAACCCATTCAGACTTAATGGATTGAAGTTTATTCACAAATCTCAGCTTTTGCAAATTCACTGAGGTGGGCACCACTACTTTAATTGTCCCCCGTAAATGATGAAATAACTACAAATATTTGTTAAGTTCATCTAGAGGCACCTGCTCTTACTGTGTGTTCTGGTGTCAGAAGAAGTACAGGAAGGATGGTCCAAGTACTTAAAATTGTACCCAGGGTCAAACAAGGCCCTGCTTTACCACAAATATCCTGTATGATGATAGGAAAGTCAGCGCCTTTCTACTATATCTCAATTCCCTCGCTGCTATTCCCATTTTACAGAATTTAACACAAAGGAATTGAAGGTAAATGCTTTAAATGCTAGGAAAATATCCGCTTAAGTTTGACAGATGAGCTGTGGAAGCAAACTAAACTTTTTTTTTTCAGTTCCTCTGAAACTATGTTTAGACTTTCCATCCCATGAAAACATTTCATCTATTCAGAATGATTTTCCCTTCCCCCAAAAACCTGAAGGTTTTTTTTTTTAAATGGAAATTCAGTTTTCCTGCTCATTCTGTTGCACTCAGTATGTGATGAGATCCTTACATGGATGGATGGGGAGAGCGGGGGAGAAAGAGAGAGAGATAAAAACTGAAATGACGTAGTTGGCTTTGTGCCAAGGACAGAATAGGTCTGAAAACTTGAAGGAATAAACTACAACACACATTTTAATTCAAGCTAAAATAAAAAGTTACAGAGAGAACCTTTTATCAGGGCAACTTAATAAAAGCTGGTAGTTCAATGCCTACAAAGGACTCCAAACAACCAATTCTAGATTTTTGCTAAAGTTAGCAATTGCATCTCTTGTTTGTTTATGGGGAGCGGAAGCAAACTCTTTACCGATCATTGCTGATGCCTGCCTGATCAAAATTAACTTGATATTGAGCACCGCTGGGGTTAGTACATTTGTATCTTAAACACTTATGAATCTCTGTTACTCTTTGGATGTAGTGATTGCTTTTTAGACATGTTTAAAACAATTTCAGAAATACCATTTGGCCGTTGGATTGAATAAAAGAAATGTATAGGTCATATCTAGTGGTAGTGGATATTACTACTAATTATAAGAGTCTGTGAAGATTGAAATAATGGAGTCTGGACTGTAGAACAAGGAAGTTAGGAGAGAGAAATTTCCCACTGGGACAAGATTTTTTTTTTTTAAGTTCAAAAAAATCTAAGAGATTCAGAGAGCATATCCTTAAGGCTCATTTATTAATAAGTGCTCAATATATAATATTGTACTACCAGTTTTTAAAACATTTGATAAGTGAATGTCTAGCCAAATCCAGTAACAGTTAAAGCATATTATAGACCTAGGAATAGACTGTACATTTCCTATCTATGTGACTGACTCCCTGGAATATTGGACAAGTCACTTAGTCCAGGATCTGGGCCTAAACCTCTGTCTTGCTTTCACCAGGGCTGCGTCTAGACTGGCAAGTTTTTCAGAAAAGCTTGCCAGCTGTCTACACTGGCCACTTGAATTTGCGCAAGAACACTGACGATCTAATGTAAGATCATCAGTGTTCTTGCGCAAATACTATGCTGCTCCCATTCGGGAAAAAGCCCTCTTGCGCAAATGCTTTTGCATTTTCCGCAAGAGGGCCAGTGTAGACAGTTAAAAAGTGTTTTGCGCAAAAAAGCCCCGATGGTGAAAATGGCAGTTAGGGCTTTCTTGCGCAAAACCACATCTAGATAGGCACAGACGCTTTTCCGCAAAAAGTGCTTTTGCGCAAAAGCGTCCGTGCCAATCTAGACGCTCTTTTCTGCGAATGCTTTTAACGGAAAAACTTTTCTGTTAAAAGCATTTGTGGAAAATCATGCCATTCTAGACATAGCCCAGGAGTCAAGAGGGATAATAATATTTACATCACAGCAGCATTGAGAGTCTTGCTTAATTTTCATCGAGTGCTTTGAGATCCTCAAAGGGGGAAAAAAAAAATCAATAGATATAAAAACACGTATTGAAATGACTGCTGACTGATGTTGAGAGTAATTTTATTTGTTAAACCTACATTCCTACATCTCCAACACTTTTCCTTCCACCCCGGCAAAATAAAAAACCCTACATATGCAAACAAATTATTTAACAGCAGTTGATCATAAAGGATATCGGAAAAGATAAGTGGGACAGGGAAGGAATTCTGTCCAACAGAAAGGTCAGGCATCTGTCAGGTCTAGATGGGATCAGGCAGCTGTGTTCTAACCTGAAAGGGTGTTTTGAAGTTGAGCCTTTCTAGGAAAGCAACAACATGTTCAGTATGAAAAGCAGCAAAGTGGGTTAGGGGTCTTCCAGCCAGTAAAATGAATCCTGAAAGGGAAGCACTTAAGCTCATATTTTTCATATGGAATAGGTTTAGTAGTTGTCCTTAGGTATGGGTATTTTTTAAAACATATCATTGCTGTTGTATAGGATATGAAATAGCTGGGGCAGGTTTCAGGCCAGATTATTAGCTGGCCCAGATCAGTGCAACTCCAGTGAGTCAACAATTACATCAATTTACAGCAGCTGAGGATCTAATGCTTGCCTAGTTAAGTTGTAATCAGATGAAAATAAAAAAGTTCTTGATATAGCTGGACTTAGTAATGTACAGAAGTGGTCTGAAACAGAATCATGATGGTATCTTACAAAGTGGTGGCAAACCTTACACTTAAGCTGCTTGGATAATATGTAATATTGATTTGTTCTTATATAACATACATTCTTCTCAACTGCCTTTCCCCAAACTGCATTAACATTAAATAACTAGATTGCCTCATTGTAAGAAGTGCAAGATACACTATACTACAAATATAGTGTATGTACATTTAAAATGGACAGCACTGTAGTTTTCCTTTACTAATCATGAGTGGCAGTTCAGGCAGTGACTCACTTAAGCTTTGCTTCCCTTTAGTTCTGTGATCCAGCCTGTCACACACATAAGTACTGCTTGCCTCAAGTTTTGTATGAAGTACTCAGTGTGCTAATGATTAAATATTTAGTGTTTATGAGCATCAGTTTCCATGGGATACTCCACACTGTGGACAGAACTTTGGATGTGAAGCACAAAAGAATACAGACACTCACTGTTGCCTCTGATACAAGCAGCAGCTCTAGTAGCTCTCTGCTGAGTGTTTCTAAATTGAATATTACCCCCTCATTTTCACAGGGTGAAATCCATCTCTATGCTAGTGCCAGAATTCAATCTATTCACCACTTTTAAGTCCTCAAGATCCAGCCTACAATTTCCCAGATACAGTTGAAAATTAACTAAGGCTGAAACTAGTGACAAAAGCTCACAAAAAAGCCCTGTGTTCCACTTATGCCCTTAGGACACATGCCACTCCCAGTAAAACTCCCATTGATCTCAGACACAACAGGCCTGTGCTTTTTATATGGCATTTAAGTTATTCCCCGTGATGGCCCCTGCATCGTGAAGTTTGGAAATATTTCGCATCATTTTAAAAGACAACAATTTTACATACTAAGACACTCGTTCATTATCTTGATAAACAGTCATAGAAGTAATGTTTTAATTAATTGGCTGACAGACAACTGCGCAACCACTTAAATAGTATGCCCATTTCCAAAAAGGACAGATGCCTAAGAACACTAATTTATTTCACCATAGGCCTCCAACCAGTAAGATAACAGTTTTCAGTCATCCAAAACAATCCCCTTCTCTATGGTAGCAGATTCCAAATTGGAAGTTTAGAGGTATGTGTCATTACTAGTCTAAGAAAAAGTACTTACAGTTTATGGTATGTCTGGTGGGACAGGCACACTCTCCATAAAAGGGTCTACGTTGTCCACGATAAGGCTATGCAGCATATCCAACTAGAAACAGAATGAAATCAGGCTACTTTTCTGCTACATAAAGTATATTACTACTTATTTTAGCTTCTGTAAAGAAATAAAATGCATGTTCTATGATCTGCCTCCACATTCCAGAAAGTGCCATAATATTGCAGTATACTTCCGTTAAATGAGATGATCCATTACTTGGCACATTTTACTTTCCACTGGGGTGTTGCAAATGAGTGGATTCTAGTCTGTGCATAAAAGAAATATACTTCTATATAAATGTAAGTATTGTAAGTGCATAAAATTGTCACCATTTCTCCTAGTTTGCACACACTGATGTGTCACAACATTCCAAAAGGAAAAACACTGGGGAAGAGTCTTGAAAAGCCTGTTTACAGGCCAATAAAAACCTCTCTTTAAATGCTTATTTATTTTAGTCTTTTGAAGGGTGATACGGGGCCTGATTCCTGTTTCCACTGTACCCTGTTCTACACCTAAAATTTCAGGTCAGCTTAGCTACATCATCCATACCCTATGCAATGCATTTAGCTTAACCTAGCCCCTACTGTGAGCACAACTAGGGTATGGGAAGAATTTTTTCCATCAACTTAGCTCCTGTCTCTTGAGGGAGTAGATTTTATTAAAGCTAATGTTAAAAATGTACATAATACATGGGTTAAGAAAAGAGTGTCTATACATCTGGGTATAGTGCGTAGGTTATCCACAAATACAAGGTTTGTTCTAGAAGACATAAGAGGCCTATGTACATATGAGCAATAACACACATTTAGGAGAACAACAACAGTTTGATACTACAACAATAGAACAATCCCTTCTACTACTGTAGATAATGTCTACATTAAAGCATTACCACACTGAAGCGATAACATTTGTGACTGAGACATACAACTTTTATGTTGCTCTGGGAACATTAAAGGGATTTATAGGAGCCTAAATTATATTTACAATTACTTTATATCACTTGAACAGTACAAAACTACCTTAAAGTAAAATGACTTTATTTTCAAAAAAAGTAACAGAAGCTCTATCTCAGGGTACTTTACTCACCACAAGGATGTTCTTAGTGGCCACAGCTGTTGGGCCAATACTCCTTCCTACAGTTACATACCACCACTCTCCTAATGAATTTCTCTGAAGAGTCAGTTGCTCTCAGTTTGCAGCTTGGCTCTCCAGGCAGGTCATTATGGGTTTTTTTCCCTTCCAAGGCAAAGGATATTATGTGCCCTAAAGTTTAACAGTACCCACTGTCCCATTTTCCCAGGGGCAAGTAGGAAATCTTAGGCCTGCCTTCTATCCTGGGTTTTGGCCCACAGACCCCACAACAAGCAGTTAAGGTCTGCACAGTCCTTGACTAGGCTTCATTCAGACCACCCATCCTGTTTCTAGCCAGCTGTGCTAAGTCTCTTAATTAGTCCTTGCTCCTTGGCCCCTCCACCAACTGCAGTTTAGAGATGATTAATAGCTTATATAGCCCCCTTAACTCCTTCAGGTCCTGTGTGGAGTAGATACCCCATCCTAGAAATTCATTGACTTCCAGTGGAAACCATTTCTAAATCACTTGTTACCCAGATTCAGTTTTTACCTGTGTTGTGAAAAATGGCCACATCTCCGTAATTACTACACCTAGCATAACACAAGCATTTTTGCTTCTCTGCTCCTAGGCCAGTGTTTTAGCTGAACTATACTAAGTGTCATGTTACAGTCTGTGCCCCCTCTGTTCCCCTTCACTGCCCCTCACAGAGGAAGGGAACGAAAACACCATGGCAATCTGAGGTAACTCTGGGAGGGAAAGGCAGGTGAACAAAACATCGCCTCTCTGCATAAGCTACATGCAGCATACCCACTGAAGAGAAAAAGGAGCTAAGGACAGGCCACTGGGAAGAAAAAGAGGAAATGTATAGTATATTTCCTCTTTTTTGCAACCCAAAGATAGTGCATAATTCAAAGAACACAAAGTATGATTAATGCACTTCAGAAAACTCTTCTCCTCCTCTCCCCATACCCTATGAGCTCACTGAAGAGAAAGAAGTCAAATGGCAGCAGCATAGCTGGGCCACCTACAGAACACTGCTGGGGCTCAGATGGAAAGTTGTGATGGCATTACAGAAAAAAAACCTTCCTTGTAACTATTTAAGGATGTATGATGCTTGCCCCACATTTTCTGGGTCCTTGACCTCTGACACAAATCTAGCTGCGATCCTGTGCCTACAGAAAATAATCCATCAGAACC